AACGTCGAGCATTTTTCAACAGTAGATTTGTGAACTGCGTATATAAGTTATTGCTGATCGGAAACAGCGTTGTCTTTGTTTCTCATCTAAGAGTTTTAGAAAAATTTGGGGAGTACTGCAGATTACAGTGATAAGAGGAATTCGGTTTATTAAGTTGACCGATTAAATTTTCCCTGAAATAATCACTGTTATTCTTTATCTGATCATTTCAAGAAGCTTGTGGGATTTCGTTTTCGATCTCATTTCGGTTTCCAAAAAATATGATCTGGATGGGACTTAGTGCCTTATAATACTTTAATAAGTATTGAGTTCCGACTCTAGTAAATGGTTGGATTTTATTTCAAGAATTCCAAATCGTGAAAAAGCTTTAAGTTGAACTTCATTATTCGATTACTGGAAACATTGTGCATATGTTTACTTTTTCTAATGAAAGATTTAGTCTCCAAAACGAATAGCAGCTTGGAACGTAACAATTTCTCTGTTCATTTAATGATAAAATTTACATATTGTTTTCAATTATCTTGGGTCAGGAGGAATTCACTGAATCTTGGTTCGATAACATAATCTTTAAAAAAAATGCTTGTCATCTCTGCATTCCGGAAAATATAACTCTACTATGGTTTATGATTTGAATGAAGTGTTACGCCAGTGTTCCCTGTTACGCCTCTCTGCTGCTTCTGCTGACGTTTCATAAGTCATGGCCAGATATTTTCGAAGATCTTGAGAAATATCGACGCCAATACGGGAGCGCGATGAAACAAAGATACTTGCAGGTATTTTATCAGGTAATATAACGGAAGCTGCCCTGAAAAAAGCTCTAAAAATAATGCAGAAACTAAAAGACTTTTATGTACATTTGTCAGAAATACTAACGGATCGACATATAACTAAGAAATAATTTATGAGTAAGTTCATTCGAGCAAGAATTCATCTTTCATTTAAGCGACATAACTAATGTGCTCCACTGGAAAATGCGGCATGACGCAATTTTATTTGATTAAACAGATTCAAGAACCAAAAGGAATTAACAGCTTTGACCAGTTATTGAGCTTTTACTTTTCAATTATCTGATAGTAAAGTCCACTTACTTTTGAATGTTTACTGTTTTCAAATTGCACACTACAAAATGTGAATAACTTGCCCTTTCGTCAGCAGTTGTATACCATTCCAAGCTATCATTTCTGCATTATCGCAACAATAGAACTGTGGAGGAGCACAGAGACTGTAACCACGAGATTCACAAGCACCACTAATTTTGGCTAATATATATTTGTTCGAAGCAACACCGCCAGAAACGAAAACTAAGCGATTGCGAGGTGGGATCTGCAGTAATGCAGTAATCCAACTATTTTGGAAAGAAAACAAAGGTTAAAATGAAATAAAGTAGCTCCAAGGAATGCCATTCAAAGCTGAATCATGGAAATATAGAGCCCTAAGTTTAACGACATCGAATACAGGAAACTCCATTTTATTACTTCAACACACAAATAAGATCAGCAGTTTGGGTAACAAAACCTTGTTGGAATCGTTCAAATATTGCAAGCAACAATCTAATTTCTCGACCAAGTACTTTGCGATGGAGTGCTGAAACATTATCTTTGAACAACGCATGCCAACTGGCAAAAGTTTCCTGAAAAGTGATTTTCTGCAGTTTCATATAATAACAATAATAAACAAAAAAAAGCTACAAAATTCTAAAATCTATGGCTATCAATACCTGAACGCTTGCACAAAAATCAGGAACATTGAGAATGCGTTGCCTTGAAATCATGACCAAGTACGTAGCCTTGATCCATGAAAAATTGAAGTGTAAATCCATTTTCAGAAATCTATTTATATCGATTGAATACCGCTTGAAGCCATTCACAGACGATCTGAATGCAAGCTTTTTGGCAAAAAATACTGTTTGATTTGCAAAGAAAAAAAAATTTTTACAGAGCAGTGAAATTCAAATGGAAACCATTAACACAAACCTTGACGCCATCACTTCTAGGGCAGCTCCCGGATGTAAACCAAGCAGCTCCGGTTCCTTGAAATTAAGCGCCCGACTAATCTTGTCAATGCATTCCCCAGGACTACCGGATGTACTGGTCAACAGAACTTCAAAGTCGTCTGGTCCGTTAGTTATAGCTATTATTGAGTGTCCACCAGAAATGAGAACAGATACGTATGGATAAGACACTTGTTTCATCAAAGTAGCAATTGTTGCATGAGCTTGCATGTGATGAACTGGTATAAGCGGTATGCAGCCTTTCCTAATATACAATGGTAAAGCTATATGCAGCCTTTCCTAATATACGTTGGTAAACTGCAGTAGAATTTCAGGAAATGTTTCACAATGTGGAAACAAAGTTCCACTTCTAAAAAGCCTGTAAGTCAAAAAAAAAGAGATGTATTCATAAGATTTATGATGCCTGGTTTAAACTTAGAAAATCCACAAACATATATACCTTGCTAAAGCGATAGCTTTTTCAGTACCAACTCGAAGAGAAATGATTAAACCAGGTCGTGTTGTTACTGCTACACCGTCCAGATTACAAAGCCGCATCCCACTTTCATCCAAGCATTCGTCAACAAATAGATCGATGTATGATCGGTGCTACAAATGTCTCCCATAAACGTTGAAAACATAACTGATTCATCTACATTATCTACTTTGCTTTGAAACATAAAGGTGTTTCAAATGGCAATGAAGTTGAATTCGCGTCTGATATCTAAACGATCATTTCTTTAATTCAAAAAACTGGTTTTTTATGAGTTCCTCAGAATTGGGAGGAAAAAAAGTAGAAATATATCGGTCGAAATAATGGACCTGATCAGCCGCTGCAGCAGGGCAGATTCCTCTAAGCCTTTTTTGTACTTCGCGATTCACATAGCGACGAGAACTGAGAATCTTCTTGTCACTGTTCAGAATACATATTGCTGTATCATCACAACTGACCTCAAATTCGTTATCACAGGAAGTGATGTTATGGAAAATTTAAACCTATCCTTTCGTTGTCAGTGAATATTTCAGTGACCTCTTCTGTCTCTTTTCCAGTCCTTCCAATTCGCAACTCTATTCTAACTTGGCTAAGGAAAAAAGGGGATAATGAGTGGGAGAAGGACAACTTTAAAACTAAAGACTGCACCACCTAGAAGAATCCACAGAAATAGCAGAATGTGCAAATGCATTAAAGGATTAACACTGGTTGCATTTTCTTTAAGTTTATCGTTTTGTGATCTAATTTTAGAATCAGAAGCTTAAGTCTCGAAAATTAACGTTAGCTGGAAAAAATACCTAGTTTCAATACCCATAACAGTGATAACTCGTTCGCAATGCGTTCTATGTGAATTCGAAGTAATGTAATGCGCCGAAATTACTTTGCGTAGAACATTAGAAACAATCCGCTTCATATCCTGAAATCCAAACAGCACAAAAGCCGCTCCTAATTGCACACTCTGAGCAGTAATTATTATACAAAGGTGAATAAGTGTCACCATCAATAAGCAGATGTTACTCAAGAGGACTGCCTGGCTCTTCCACTTCCGAAAGGCCATTGCCGCTCTTTATTACCTGCCCACTATCTAAACCTTTGGCTAGTTGCCTTTAAACCTGCTCGTGACTTGGATGGTTGCCATTCATTTATCCTGAGTGTATGCTAAAAGTCCATAGCATCGTGAGTGTATTCATCCACTTCTCTGTGTTTGCACTTATTACATGCTATTTTCTATTTGTCCTTTGTCTGGACCAACGCACTCTGTTCAGTGTTTTTTGCAAGAATGTCACAATTATTTCACATTACATACGCATTCTTCAGTTAATACGTCTTTGGTTCCTTTTTTGATATTCCCTTTTGTCTTACTCTCTCCAGAATTCCGAAGTATTTTCTAATGCACTCCATTCTGTCTTTATCAGAGTCGGTTTAGGCCTATTCTAATTTGAAATGTCTTGAGAAGCGTTTGCGGCTGCGTTGCGGATTAGTTTTTAGTGTGGAGTGGCTTCGTTTTGCAGATATATTCTGAACATATTCTGGTTATCGGTAAGGATGAGTAACATGAGCGCGCGTGTTTACGTGGGGCGTCTGTCCTATAGAGCATCCGAACGTGATATCGAGCATTTCTTTCGTGGTTATGGACGTATACGTGATATTGTTCTGAAGAATGGTTTCGGTTTTGTGGTAAGTGATTCATGTGAATTCTTTTTTTGGATACATCCTCTCCTTGATATCTCCTCTTTGGTCATTGCTCTTCGTCGACCAATCGCCATTTTCGAAATTGAAGTTCCATCAGATGCTTAAATTTTGTTCAGTTTCATCCCGTTTTTCATGTCATTAATTCAGTCATGAAAACGATTACTGCTTCAGAATAATTTTGGGGAAGCTGAGTCAAGTAATCTTTTGTTCTGTCATTTCTTCTGCATATTCACTGTGGTTACAGGAAGAGTTAAGACCTACTTCACACATCCTCGTAATCCACTTATGTATTGCGTAGCTTGTCGTATGTTCGCTTCATCATATTGTTTTGTGCATAACACATGTACAAAGGTATAATACGCTATGGTATTTAGTTTATTGACTTGATGCTGTTTACCAAAAACAATTCAACGTATGCATACACACATTTTCCATTCATTTATGAGCTTAACTTCGGTTCGCCTAGGAACTGATAGCCAGAAATGGGCTGTCTTAGCAAATTAAACTTCATGTGGTGGTAATATATGGAACATAATCAGTTTATATATCAGTTATATAGGTTAACGAATGGCACATCCAAGTCTTTTATTATGGTGAATGCAATATTTCTAATAGCTCATTTTTGTTTGAGAACTGTTGTTGACTACCACTTTTACTGAATGCTTACTAAATGGTCAATTTGATTAACTTGTAATCTCATTATTTTTTGTAATCATTTCATTGGACTTCTGTTTAGTAAGTACTAAACTATACCATGGATTGTCAGTGGAATGTGAATTTTACATGGTTTTCTCTTAAATGAGAATCAGAGATATGCGGTACTATAATTCTTGGGTAGGGAGGTGATCCGAAATCCTTTAGATTGGCTATTTAACCGACCGTATAGAAGTGTTTTGCATAATAGGATCGAACAAAGCGCAGTATTCGATTATCCACCAAAATCAAGTGGGAAGAGTTTTTGTTGTTTAGGATTGCTTTTTGCATTGTTTGAATTTGGCTTTGGAAAAACACGGGAAAATCAAGTTTTTATAGGAATTCGATGATCCGCGGGATGCAGACGATGCAGTATATGAGTTGAACGGGAAAGAGTTGTGCGGTGAACGCGTGATCTTAGAATTTTCACGCCGTGGACCTCGAAGTCGTATGGGATTTGGGGGCTTTGATCGATTTCCTCCACCGAGACGTGAATCAAGGCTAGTGTAGCATGTCTTGTTTGCGATTCTATCGGTCTTTCTAGTTCTATCAGATCGCTATATGTTACACAGACTGTTTTAAATAAAAAATTGTGTTTTCAGATATGGTCCACCACAACAAACACGCTATCGACTGATCGTTGAAAACCTTTCGTCTCGTTGTTCGTGGCAGGTGAGATAACGTGATGTTGGGACGTTGTGTGCGACTACCTGATGCATACGTCGTTGTTTGAGGGTGATGTACATGTTAAGGGAAGGAGGCAAACACCACGCACTCGCGACGAAACCTGTATAATTCCCGGTGATTGAGCAGAAAAAACGGCCAAATTTTGACTCCTTGATAACACCTTTGTTTGAGGTGTTGCTGATATGTGGAAAAATAGAAATCGGAAAATATTTAGATTTTTAGCTTTTTTTTTCCTGTTACATCGAACGCGCATTGTTGGAACAACCTTATGAAGCGCGTTCGATGGCCACTTAATTCTGTTCATAAAGATAAGGCCGAAGTGAAGGCACCAAATTGGCCAGGAGGTAGTCGCGAGCTGGTGCAGCTCAAAATGGTTTATCGTTGGTGCGTAGGCGTCTTATTATTGGTGCGTTCGGGCCCGGGCTCGTGGTTCGGTGCTTGTTTCGTTTCGTTCTGATGTCGCAGGTTGAGGCTAGTGGTGGTGTACTGCCGCATCGTGAGGGCCACATCAGAACATGATCTGGTCAGTTCTCTAAAAATAAATTCGATCTTTCGTATCGCTGAAACAAAAGGTGTTTGACATTTACCAAGATAAGCCTACTGGATGGTAGCTTTTTTTTTTCTTTCTGACGAGCGTATGCGAAGATTCCGTTGTTCGGAAGTTTCTTCAAAACGGAAAATTTTCTCTTCATTTTCAGCATTTTCTTGCTCTCCGGTTTGGCATCAAAAATGTGAGATTAGAAATACAGTTGCTACAACAGGATGAGATGGTCTGGAAAGAAATAATACACATTAAGAGAAGATAGGAAACAGTTTTGGCACTCGACTCAACTTGTGAATAAAAGGATGTAGTGGCATAGGGGTTTGATGGTTAACGGTGCTTTATCTTGTTCTTAAAAGGCAGAAGGTATACGATCCATTTCCTATTGTACTTCTGTTTCGTTGGTACTACTTGATAACGATGTTGTTTTGCAGGATCTTAAAGATATTATGCGAACCGCTGGTGAAGTAACTTTTGCAGATGCGCACAAGCAGCATCCAAATGAAGGGTAAGGTCTTTTGCTTTTTGTTTTCCTCGCTTCACAAGGGTTTTTGAATGTCTCACATCCTGTACTTTTGTGCTTCATTGAATACTGTATTTCTCAGGATTGTGTGCTTCTTAACACGAGATGATCTTGAAAGGGCGCTTGACAAGCTGCAAGGAAAGGAGGTGAATGGGCGCAAGCTGAAATTGATTGACGATTCGGAAAGACGGGATAGTCGAAGGTAAAAGTATATTATAGGAGTGACGTATATGGTGTTTCTGCTGTAATTTTGATTCTTCCTATTATGTTATAGATATTATTTGTATCATATTTGTAATTACTTTGGTTCTTGTAGTCGTTCCCGTTCTCATCATCGATCCAATTCGCGTTCACGCAGCTCACGTAGTCGGTCGTCACGTTCACGCACTGGTTCGAAATCACGTTCGCCTACACCAAAGAAGGAAGGCGGAGGTTCGAAATCACGCAGCCGCTCTAGAAGTGCACGCTCCCGTTCTCATTCTCCGGAAAGAAATGGATCCCGGATCGGTGCAGTAGTTACTGAGAATGGTGGTGGTGCTGAGAATAGTACTGCTATTCCTGAAACCAGTGATGAGCCGATGAAGGATGCAAGTCCATCTCCTAATAGTAATGATTACAACTAAATGTTCTCCTACATTTTTATTGGTGTTTAAATTAATATTAAACTCAGTGTTAACAGATTTGTTTCCAACTTCTCTGGTTTCTAAAGAATTTCTTTTCTCTGGTTTCTAAAGAATATTTTTCTACTGTTTTTGTTCCATCTACTGTGCATGCTGTAATACTGAGAAATCGTAGTGAAGTCTCTTTTACGGATATTTTTGTCCGGCAAATTTTACTGTAAATCTCTGGCAACAATTCAACTCAGTTTTTTGAATGCCCATCACATATATCCTAGTGATCTTGATGCATAGATTTTTGCCGAGTAATTGATCACCTTTGCTGCAGTATTTTAAACTACGATCTCATTTCCTAATAAAAATAACTGACATTGCTATAACTTACTGCTGCGGTCGACATATCTGGAATCTGCTAATATCTAATTAGACATTTTTAGAATTTAACAATGAAGTATATATCCTCCATCTATGTCTCATTTAATTTGCAATGATCATTTTACCTCTAGTAATAATTACAGCGATAGGGTTGTTGAAATGCAATAAAGTAGCAGCAATTACATACTGTTATTTTTACACGTTCGAGATTATTCTGTACTATTATTTTCATACATTCACAACTTAATTTTTGCACCCATGATTATTTGTCATCAAAAATGTGGGAAAGATTCTTTAACAGTCAGTTTAGTGCATCGTACGAAATATTTTGTTGTTGAGTTGTCGCCTTGTTGACTTTTATAAATTTAGGGATATGAAACTGATGCATGCTTCGCTACCTTCGTTCTGCTTGCTGAATTATATTTCTATGTTTTCAAAATAAATGTTCATCTCAAGAAAGCCCTTAACGGATTCAAATGTAGTGAGGTAATAAGATCTTATTCTTGTGCATCGCTTGTTCCCGTCGTCAGCCTTAAGATAATTTTAAGATGCATTCAAATTGTGCTTCAAGTATATAAATGGAATAAGTGCGAGGATTGCACATTGCTATTTCTTTAATCACACTGGGGTACATTGGTGGGTTGGAGTCGGGACAGTGTTTGAGTCGGTTTAATGGGTGATGAAGACGAAATACCTGATTTCAGACCAGGCAAGGTTCGTCAAGGTTTTGGCAGTTTTGATTGTTTGCAAAGTGCGAAGTAGTGGGGAAAGGTTTTTTGCCTTTTAATTTCACAGTGATTTCCAGGAGTAGGGTTTTTTATCAACATCTCACTGTGCTTAGTTTTGTCGTTTTATATTTAAAATCTTCCTGCGCAGCGGTCATTGCTGTCGGGAATATTTAATGAATAATATATATTGGCAGCCAAAGATCAGTCTGTCTTTTATGTTAGGGTAAATTTTACAAACAAATTTGCATACTATTGAGTGAATCAAAAAAACAAAAAATAAAAGGAAAAAAAAGTTAGTACGGACTTTTTTAGAATGTTTTCAAATGTATCTTCCGGAAAGAGATTCGTAACATTGACAATTCAATTGCTTACATCTACAAATTAGATTCAATTGGTTAGCTTCAGTTGATTTTTTCAGTTTGATTTTCAGTTTTCAAGAAATACATTTAATCTG